GTGTTTTAATCAATTACTATTCAGATGGACACTACTAGATAGCTTACAACAGCAATAGCAGCAGCAGCAGCAGCAGCAACAACAACAACAACAAATTTTTTCTTTCACAGTTCACAGTTTGAAGTCAAGCTGTCAATAAGTTGGGATTCTCCCAAGGAAGGCGTTGTTCCAGGCCTCTCTCTTAGCTTCTGGTGACAGCTGGAAAACATGACAGATGCGTTGCTCATCTCTGCCTCTGTCTTCACACAGCTCTCTCCTGTCTGTGTTTCTGTTCTCTCTTCTAAGTAAGTTATATTGGTTTAAGTGTTCTTCCTATTTCAGTATGACCTCATTTCAGCTTCAGTACTCTGGGCAACACCCCTGGTTCAGGCCCATGACTCCAGCTCTTCCTGGGAATTCAGAAGTCAGTCCACAGGCGGAATGGGGACCTCTTTGACACAGTAAACTAGTTCTGTGCACCATGTTTAAGAACATTCCTGTCCTGGGGGCACTAGGGAACACTAGCCTAGGCCTGTTTCCCTTAGATGAAATGACTATAGTTGTGACCATTCCTGCAGTGGAAGGGGACCAACTTGTTATTTCCGTTTTCTGATTCTAAAATAATGACCTATCCTATTTCCCCAAAGAAAAACTTAAGCTTCTGATTATTAAAAATAATCAGAATACAAAATACAAAAAATAATCAAATACAAAATTGCATTTTGTAAAATGCAGCATATCACAGCACTGGGTCATAATGTAGCTGGGGGTTCTTATACTGCTGAACATAATGTAGAAACAATGCTGATAGAGTGTAAAAATCAAGGTGTTCCTTAGTTATCCTGGGAAATGTTTTAACTCCAAGTAAATCATTTACTCCAATTCTGATCATTCTTCACTTGTCTGACTGCAGGTACTATTGAGAGACTTTATCGCCTTTCTTTGGGAGAAAAATTTGCCTGACTTTTGAGATCAATTATGTGCTTCCCTCTGAGCCCTATTCTCTACATACAATCTTATGAGGCCACTTTCTTCTAATCACTGTATTCTTGTTATCATTTATTGCCCCTTCACTCCTCTTCCTCTTTCTTCTTGAGGTTCCAGAACTGGATGGATAAAATTTAAAGTATGTCAATAGAGAAAGTCCTGAAAATACTTGAACAACTCCCACTGTGTCACTTAATGTAAACGTGAAGATGTTGGGAAGCCACAGAGAGGCTAATATCAGCTGAGAGGCAGGCTGTGAGGAACCACATAGATCCATGTTGGATATCCTCTCTGGTATGTATCCTAGAAGGCTGGATGGTCACATGGCTATAGTTTTGGAGAAGAGAGAATGGGAGGAACACAGTCTCCAGAATGAAAGAGACCAGGGCTGGACTGATAGTAGTAGGGTTACTGGTGGTAACCCTAACCCTAACCCTAATCCAAAATGACATATTTAAAACCTTTGATGTTTTGTGACTCCAAGTGGTAGAGTGAGATCTTTTCCTTCCTCTGGGGTGCTGAATGATTTGACACATGTGACATGATCATCAGCAAACTTCCATGAATTCAAGTCATGCACATGGACAATGACAGCAGTAGAGAGTAATCTGATTAAATAATGGATTTTTTTGAAGTTAGAACTAGATATTCTTACCTTTCTATTGATTTTTTTTTTACCCCATCTTGGGCACAGGAGACTCAAAGAACAAAGCCCAGAGATCTGTGGGATCTAGATTAAGGCTGCTGAACCATCTAGTTATTGAGTACTTTTAGTCCTTATCCTTAATCTCCAGAACTCAGCACTACTGCAGCTGTGGTGATCCACCTCTAACCAGGCCCCAGCTACTCATAACACCTTCAGCTATGAACTCATTGATGGATTAATTCACTGTTGAGTGTAACATCCAATAATCCAATCATCTTGCAAGTGCCGAACTCCTTACAACCATTTATGTCTTGATGGATGGAGAAACAGAATCTTCCATCCCCACTGCGAAGTAGCCCTGTGCTGCTGTCAGCCATGCTAGGTGTGGTCTAGAAGCTAGGCAGCTTGCCATGAGCAGAAGGGTTGAGCCAAACTATGTGAAGGCCTGTGAGTGACTGAGTGATGAGTGTGTTCTGAACTTGGGACAGAATGGCCAGGACTCATCCCAGAGTCCATCCCAGAGTCATCTTTGCCAGAACATAAGGCAGACTGGCACCATAGGAGGTCCTGACTGTTTTCCACAGGTTGCAGCCAATGGTTAACATGTTTGTGGGGACCAGGATGGAGAAGTATTGAGAGTCTCCCTAAGAATAGATCATGGTGTGGTGAGTGGTCTCTTGGGTCCACCTGTTTCCCTCAGCCCAGCTCCTCACATCTGTTCACATGGGTTTAGTCATGAAAACACTACGCTGATGATGGGCCTTCCTGGTGTATCCCCTCCCCAAGACTTGTCAATGTCAGAGGATCAGGACCCCAATGAGGCAGTGAGAAGAAAGTGTGTATATCCTGAGCATGTGTGTGAGTGTGGATGTGTATGCTAGAAGATGTAAAAAAGCGGGGGTGGTGGTGGTGAAGCTCTAGTTAGAGATTGCTCATGGACAGTGTGTATGACATGCTCTTGGGATCCCTTAGAAACCTTTCCTGCAGGTAATCCAGAGATAAGTAGCTGCTGACTGGGACAGAGAGATACAAAATGAGATATGTGTGCCCTTGAGTTTTGAGAGGATTGGGTCTGAGACTGAGCAGCGCTTTGAGGGCTTTAAGTAAATGTCACAGAGAGAAGGCTGAGTGGGCCTTCTCCACTGCCCACTTCTCCTTCATGCTGGAAAATGTTCTTTCCATTTGCTAATGCAAATAATTAATAATGAGGCTGTCATCCTCAGAGCATGGTCAGTTAGCAGACACAGAAAATGACTGAGGGTTGTCTAAGATATATTTTTGATTAAAATTTTGTTGATAAATGATTTACATGGAGTACTAGAAAAATGACTTCCATTTACTGAACCATTTATGCATATAACCAGTTGAGCTTGATATGATATCTGTTTGGCAATTATTCCATTTAAGATGGAATAGGCATTGCAAAAGTTTAGATAGTAAATGTCACACAGCAAGGAGTAATTGACATTTTGATGTACCTAAGAAAACCTCCCAGCTGATTCTGTGTGGTTACCTTAAAATATTTATAGCCTGGTTTAAAATTATGATTTTAGTAATATTTTACTTGAATATAATATTGATTTATACAGCCATGTATAGTCATTGGGGCTAATCTTTAGGGAAAGCATGTATATTATTTGTTACTATGAATACTTGACATTTTTATGTGGAATTTGGTGTAACTTCTGAATATTAAAAGTGTGAAGTTGGAGCTGGCCTGATAGCTCAGCAACTAAAGTGCCTGTTTAGACAGAGTGCAGCAGCCAGGGTTTGAGCCCTGGCATGCCATGCCGGCCCTATTCCTAGGCTGCACTGAGACAGCAATTCAGACTGGGCATTGTGGGACATGTCCATGTAATCCCAGCATTTGGGAGGCTGAAAACAGGAGGATCACTATGAGTCTGATCTATGTAATGAGACCCTGTAGGTCCTGTATCCCTGTACTAAATGTGAAAAAAAAAAGATGTGAAACAGACCTTCATCACCTTCACAGTGAACATGTTCAGTTATAGCACTGTGTGGTTGATGTTGTGTAAAATTTTATGACTAAAACCATGGTTCTTGATGTATACTTTGCTTCCATCTTTTGGTGATTGTGAATATGGGCATTTGCTTAATCTTGCAAATATTTTATCTTTCTTTTAGTTATTGTGTAATTTACTTTTATGCATATAGATCTCTAATTCATTTGATGTTTATTTTGGAATATGGTCTATAATAAATTAGGCCTTTAATGGAATTGTAAATCTGCTCCTTGTGTCAACCTCTCTTCATGGACATAAATGGCACATAGTTTTAGTTAGAACATACTTCAATATCTAGTAAAGGGGATTGTCTCCCATGGAGGAGAGAAAATTGCCTTGAGGAAAGATATGTCCTTCTAGTGTGCCAAAGATGGTCAGGAAAATGAGTCCTGGGAGAGAGGGGGACCATTATGGTTTTGATTCAAAATGTCCCTCAAAGGTCACATGTGTTTAGAATTGGGGATCTGCAAGATGATTGGATTATTGGGTGCTGTACTCCCCAGTGGATTAATCCATCCATGAGCTCATAGCTGAATGTGCTGTTAGAAGGTGGGGCCTGGTTAGGGGTTGACTGATGGTGGCACAGATTGGGAGAGTGTATGCTTGTGCACGACTCCTCCCGTTCACTCTCTGCTCTTGGTGACCATAGAGTGAGGAGCATTCCTGTGCATACTGTTTCGACCTTGGAGTCAGCTGAGTATACATGGACTAGATCCTCTAGTCATGGGCCTTGGACTAGATCCTCTGAGGTCTTTAAATTTTCATAGCTGGATATTTTGTCCCAGTGACACAAAAATGAATAATATAAGGCCCTATTATTACAGGGAGAAAGAAACTCATTCTGATTCTCAAGATTTTGGGAAGCATAAAAGTTTCATTTGATATCATTTTCGTGGAAGAGCTCAACTCAGTCATGACACATTTGTTGCATGTTTGCTGTAGTCTTTGTGTTTGGTCCCTCCAAGATTCTTATGCTGAAACTCAGTATTCAGGTTTATGAAATTTGGAGGGGAAGCCTTTGGGGCCCAATTACATAAGGGCAGAGTCTATGTGAATGGGATCAGTGCCTATACTATAAGAAACCCCAGAGAACTCCTTTACCTTTTCTGATATATGAAGAAACAGCAAGAAGGTGTCTGTCTACCAAGTCAAAGTGGGTCCTTACCAGTCACAGAATTTATCTTGGACTTCCCGACCTCTACAACTGTGATAAATAAATTTCTGTTGTTTACAAGTCAACGTTTTGTTATAGCAGTTCAAACAGACTGAGAGAGCACTAAAAGTTGTTTAATGAACAAATATCTGCACCCTAGATGTACATTTTTAAAGCTCTCCTGGAACTGACCTGTGCCCCAGTAAAACTGTCAGTCACAGGAGGATGACCATGATTGTTCAGTCTGATCCTGCCGTTTGAAGCATTTCATTGTTCTCTTTATCCAGGACAGATAGCTTGCGATCCTGGTGAAGACTTCTGGAGTGGTTCCATTTTCCTTGTCACCATAGGAGACAATGCTCTGGGCCACATTGTTACATACCAAGGGGCCACCAGAATCCCCCTGTAGGAAGAGAAGAGACAGGACACTAAACCAGGCCTCTCTGCTCCTGCTGCCCTAAAACCCTATTTGTCAGAAAAGGCAGGGGTGAATGGTTTTCTTAATGTGTGTGAAATGGCAGATTAGTGTGGGTATAGGACTGCAGCCTCTGGATTTTTTAGTGGCTGGGCTGGAGCCCTGGCTATAGTTACGTCTCCAGATCAATGATGAGATTCAAGGTGCTTTGACCTTCTCCAGGAAAATGCTACATATATATATGTGTGTGTGTGTGTGTGTGTGTGTGTGTGTGTGTGTGTGTGTGTGGTGGGCTTTTCTTCTTTTCTTCCATTCCTCCAGAGATTATATTGATGGGAACCCCCTCCCCGCAAGTCTCAGCTGCCAAACTGAGACTGTGGAGGAATGGAGTCTCTTCCCACCACTCCATCTCTGCCCAGGCCTCTGTCCAGGAAATATTGGCAGATGATCATGCACTTACCTGGAAGGCAGCTTTCTTTTGCTTCGGATCTCCCACACAAATCTGAGTCCGACTGCAGTAAGAAGGAAAGCGACGGGTGCACTTCTGATCGCTCTGCACTCTCAGCTGCACTTCCTGGAGTTTGTCTGACCACCTGTTCAGGCTGATCCAGCCCCAGCCAGTCACTGTGCACAAGGCCCCAGGCTTAGGCTTCTCCCCAGCATTTGGCAGGGCCACTGGCCTCACAAATCTATTCTTCTTGATTCTATTCCTCAGCTGTCAGGAAAAGTGCAGGAGATGGGACTCTTATCAGTGGTTGGGGACTGGTTGTACAGTATACACCTCATGTTCCTCCTTGACCACTCTCCAGAGTCCTGCTTTTGCTGCCTCCATGAGAGTGTCTCAGGACACACTGAAGCCACCACACTGGGAGATACCAGGCTAGGCCAAGAAACAGAGGATCAAACAGGCAGTACCTGAAGTAACATGATGTCATTCAGAGCATTCTTCTCATTATATCTGGGGTGGCGGATGGCTCTAAGCACAGTGATCTGTTGCTGGGTCCTTTCCTGCTTCTCAATGTTGTGGGCTCCCAGTGTGACATTTATGGCACTGCAAAGCAATAGGTGGCCTGTAGGTAAGTACAGGAATCAGAAGCTGTGGTAAGTAACTCTGCACTTCCATGGACACCTGCAGGAGGGCTAAGACTGCAGCTGGAGAGAGGAGGGAATGAGAAAGTCCCTGTCTCAGTTACTCTTCTCTCATTACTGGGACAAATACCTGACACCCAAAATGAAGGAAGGAAAGGCTTATTTAGCTCACAGTTACTGGAGGTTTCAGTCCATACTCAGCTGGCTCCAAGGCAGGGTGGCACATGGAAGAGAGCAACCTTTTCTAATGGTGGCAGAAAGCAAGAGTAAATAGGAGGAGTAGCAGCAACAATGACTACAGAGAGCAAGTGTCTCTCCCTTAAGTTGCATTCAGTCTGTACACCCCAGGCTGGGTGCAGTATTCACGCTCATATTCCCAGAAGCACCCACACCCATCATCTCAGTGGATCATGAGTTAGTTACACTCTAGAAGTCTGCCCCATGATTACATGAACCTTTGTGGGGACAACTAGACACAAACCATAACAGTCCCAGAGCTGAATCAAGACCCCTGTTGTTCAGCATCCCTGAGCTGGGGATGACAGGCATGGTACCTAAAGTTTGCTCCTCCAGATTAAATGGTAAAATAGCTTGAGTTCTTATTTTGAGCCTCAATACATGCCTTTCACCTTGTGTTCTTTTCTCTTCCTTTATATCAGCCTCTTGCTTCTTGTTTCCCCCATCCATCCTGGTCTCTTTTCACCCTGTCACAGCTACAGTAGTGTTGCTTTCAGATGGCTTCTGAGTGGGTCCTCTGTGTCTGTGCTACTGTAACCCGGGGAATGCCTGAGTCCTCACCTTCCCCAACAATGACCTGCTGTCATCACGAAGTCTTCTCTTACAAGGAATCCCCCGCAACTGCTCCGACCTTCCGGGCCCTCCACCTGAAGGAATGCCATGTAGGGATAGGAGTGGGGTCTGGCCTCTTGTCCTCCAATGATCTTTCCTGAAAGGAAGCATTTAGCACTTATCTCTGTGCTTGAGAACCTACAGTGCAGGCATAGGTCGGTGGCTTCAGAAATTCTGAAAGGTGGAGGGCAGGAGAGATGGTGTGGGAAAGAAGCTGACAGTGAGGGGGCCAGAGACTGGAGAGGGCTCCTAGGTGCTGCAGACATCACTGCCATCCTAGAGCTCCCTCCCCTCCTCTCCTCTGAAAGCAGAGAACAGTGGCTGCTCCAAGAAAGATCTGCTCTCAGTCTCAAGTATGGAGAGAGGCTCTGCTGTAATCACAAGCTTTCCTTGAAGTTCACTGGCACTTTATTTCTCAGGGAGCTTCCCTCTCTCAGAGACTAGCCCATAGGCAGCAGAAGCTGGGCATTTAGGCATTTAGAAACTGAGTGGATAGAACTGTTACTACTGTGTCTTTATCTCCTGGGCTTTGACACATGGGCTACAGAATACTTTTATATAGATCATATTTATACTGCACCTACAAGCTGGGGCGATTTTCCAAGACTTGTACACATTAATAATTTTACTCTCACAGGTACTCTATAAGATTGTTACCAATAATTTTCCCATTTAATAGTTGAGGAAACAAGAGATATGGATTAAAATGCATGCTCAAACATTGAAATTAAGGTGTACCAAGGCAGAGTGATCCCAGAGTCTGTGGGATGGGATCAGACTTCTGAGGCTGACGTTGGTCACTCACCTGCCTTGGCCCCAGGGAGTAGGACAAACACCAGCAGAAGCAGGAGTGGTTGCATCTTGCCTGACAGTCTGCTCAGTCAGTTGCTGCATGTTTGTCCTCCTGCTAGACTTTTAGCCTTTGAGAGAGGAAGGAAGGGGTAGGAGGGGGACTTCTTGAGCATTCACAGCTCTGTTGTCCTGCCAGTGTGGTGGTGCAACTTCCAGGGCTGCCTAGGAGGTTTGGCCACCAACTGCCAGTGCTCTGGGCAACACCAGGGGCACACCAACATCCTGCTCTACCTCTCAGTTGCTGAGTGAGTGCTGACAGCAGGAAGAGGAACTCAGTGCAACAAGCAGGGGGCCTTGGTGCTGTGGGTTCTAGAAACCTCAACCCACCCAAGCCCCAACACCTCCAAGAAGACAGGAAAGGTGGCAGATGCCTACTCTCACCACTGCCTATCCCTATGAGTTAGAGCTCCCGTCCTTTGGAATTACAAACACTGTGCTAATGAATACAAATTCCCTGGATTACACATTCCTGTATACTTAGTAAGGCCTGAACAGGGGTGAATAAAACCTGGTGTGCTAGGCCAGGTGTGTGAGATGCCAGGAAAAGTCAAAGGAAGCAGAAAAGGAAGAGTGAAGCTTGGCTGTCCTGGCCACTCTGCCTTCCTGTTACTCCCATTTCTTTCTTATTTTTTTTTCTTTTCAAAGTTTTATTGATAAACATATAGCAATGAGACAGTTTCAAATCAAATCAAAAGTACAGTTTCAACAAATAATACACTGCATATATTCTTCTTTGTGGTTAATTGCTGTACAAGATGCAGACTTGTGATCCTACTTACAAACACCATTAGAAAAAATCATTCTATTCATTAAGAGA